AGGCCAAGAAATAATGGTAGATTCTTGCTAGTCTGATTCTCCTCTCTCTCTAATTCTCTCTCTCTCTTTCTCTCACATAAGCAAATTTTTATTACCTAGAGGCAAATAAATCAGAGGTGCATGACATGTCAGAGAATATAATACCACAAGGAATAGATGACTTCTGTAGGATACCCTCCACATTAGTAGAGAACAATTTCTAGAAACCCGTAGAAATCCAAAGCTTGGTGAAAGGCCAGAAATAGGTTTGCAGTGCAAACGTTTCCAGAAAGCTGTCTACCTCTCTCTTTCTCAAGCTCTCTCCTTTTAAAAAAGTCTAAGTTTCGTCTTAGATGTCTTTTATTTAACTAAAATGAGAACTTTTATCAAATGTGAATCTCCCCCCTTTAATATGGAAAGGATGCTTGGATGAAACAAAGATGAAACTGATGGGGTTCATTCAAATCCAAATCCTAAACCAAATAAGTAGGAAAGTTGTGTGTAGTATTAAGTATTGCAAATTTCACAAAAGTAAAAAAAGAAAGGCCAGATTTAAAAAAAAAAAAAAGTGCAAGGAAGTATAAGATGCTGTGACATCATGTTCAAAATCGCAACTCTGTGGAAAAATAAAAAATTTTTTTCACATCTATCTTACAAGTCATAATTTGGAGATTTTGTACAGCAAAATGGGAAGTTTAATGAAAAACGAAATGTGGAAAATCTTCTATTATCACAATGCTGGTTAATGATTTCTTTTCTTTTACACATTTGTCTGATTATAAAATGCTACCCTTGGAAGAGGAACACGTATTAAGCCATTTAGTTTGCAAATGAAGAAAGAAACCAAAGCAAAAAAGAAGTGAGATGATTGGCCAGAGGTCACTCAGCCGCCAAATTACACAACTGGGACTAAATCCTGGTGTCCCAATCCAGAGTTTGGCTTTTGTCCTTTCCCACCTTGCCACAGATTTGTTCCCTTTATGTAACTGCTAGCTACAGACTCTCATTCTTGCTATGAAATGGACAATTTTCACTTTTTATTGCTTCTTTATATGAAAACAGGAATGACTGTCATCTAACAATCCAGGCATGTTAAGAAACACAGACTTTGGGCTGCTAAGAAAATTTGGCACAGCTTGCCTTTGGCCTTCTGTATTTACTGACAATGGGTTAAAACAGCTAAGATGAACCGTTTCTGAAAAGAAAATGTAGAGCATGTGCACAGTTTTGAGGCTATTTTTACTGGCCCTTGGGAAGCAGATGTACTAGAGACCACCCATAGAGATGTATATGTTGTTAAATCATGCTTTTACCATCATCATTACATTGTTATGCAGAATTTTTAGAGAAGGCTAATCTTTATTAACTAAATAGATAGGTCAACGGGAGCTTTCCATATTTATTCTTCAAAGTTTATAGGTACATCTGCTCCAGAAAACATCATAAGCCTCTAAATACCATGATTGCTAGGAAACAAAGCATTACCACAAGGAGTCTACCTTTCTTTAAAAAGAAAACGTTCATCCCTCAAATGCTATATGTATGTAGAGAAGTTCTAAAAAAAAAAGGTTCAGATACGTGATATTAAAAACTAGTCACTACAGAATTTCTGGTAAAAGCAGGTGGACTCAACAAGCATGCTGGCCTCAGCTCCCTCCCTTAATGTCCTAAAAATGGCTATAAATAATTTTAAAACAAGCAAACAACAAAGAGAAAGCATACAGCCATAAGGACAACAGGAATGAGTGACAAGACAGTAGTCAAAGAAGCTAGAAAGCCAATAGACAGGTGGTCACGGACTTACCTGACCCCAGAAAGCAGAATTCTACAGCAGCAGTGGTGAAACGCCAAGAGGCAAACACAGGTGCACTGACCACCAACCCCCCAGCCCCACCCCCGCCATGACTCAGGTATTGTCAGCACCAGTACCTCTGCAGGTGGGGACAGTGCTAGAGCTCTGAATGGGAAGACAGCTTCAAGGATGGTGTAGAAGCAGTTAGACACCCAGAATCCCTCTTCTGCTCTGTGTGAATGCTAACTGTTCCTTGCAACCTGGCAGAAGTCTAGAAATATATCGTCGGGAGAGGGTAAAACACAGTCTGGGGACTGACTGCAGGCATCGAGCACTGGAGAAAGCAGGCTACTGTACTGGAACCAGGAAAACAGGCAAATGCTCACACGGGAACTGTTGAAAACTCTTCTTTGCCCTTTCAATTTCCAGAATGCTATCTCCCAGGCTTCTGCCTTCATAATGGCAGTGCAGTAGAAATGACTTCCCATGGGCTGGTCTGATTGTCAGGGAAGACTGAAAACACGCGAAGGCACTGAAATTGGTGTTCTTTGCCCTTCACCCAAATCACCCTCAAGGGAAGCCTGCAGTTGACAAGTTCCAGATATGTACAGAAAGCTTCCAATCAGCTTGTTAGTGCCTCACTCTGAGAGATGAGCAGGCCGCCAACAACACCTAAACATTTAAGGAAAGCTTCTAAAATAGAAGCAAAAACAAAAAGAAAAATACATCTTTGGGGAAACAAAAAAATATATACATACAAAAAGAAAAAAAATTTCAAAAAGTTATCATTAACATCTACAGGGAAATAAAACAGTACAATTACGAAAGAAAAACATGACACAATTTTACAAAATGAGCACTCAGGGATCAAAAATTAGATATTGGAAACTAATATATATTATAAAGTCTGAACAGAAAGTTTAAAAGATAAAATTGAGGTCTGCCATATATACAGCAAAAACAGAAATGGGAAAACAATAGAGAAATAAAAATAACATTTGAGAATAAAGGAGGGCCATTATATACACAGAAATAAAAATCAATAAATAATTCAAAAAAATTTCCAAGAACTGAAGGACATGCATTCCAAGATTGAACCAGGCCCACTACATTCCCAGTATCATAGATTAAAATAGATTTACACCAAGACACGTCCCTGTGTAATTTTAGAATACCAATCCTTAAAGGCTTCCAGAAAAAGAAAAAGGATAAAAAATGAGAATGGCATCAGGCTGCTGGACCCTGGATGACAGAGGAAAATGAAGCCTTCAACATTCTGAAGAAAAGTGATTTCTAATCCAGAGTTTTATATCCAATCATATTTCCAATTAAGCATCAGAGAAGACTACAGAAGCCCGTATCTGCAAGGCCTCAAAAAAATCTTTCTCACACACTATCTTTTCTTTGAAACTACTGCAAGATGGCTTCTACCACATAAAGGAATAAACAAAGAAAGAGTAGGAAAAGAGTTCAAGAAAGGCTACTCAACATAAAAAAAAAAAAAAAGGCAAAGAAAATCTCCAACATGAAGGAGAAGCAGGTGAGACTGTTCTAAGAGTCATCTCTTCAAGGTGAAATTGATAGATTGCTTAATATATTTGAATAGAGAAGAAGGATATTTATAGAATGTGGGAGAATTTAGAGATGATTTAGTGGTAAATATACAGGAATCTGAGCAAATAAAAAATGAGGCAATTGTTACTTCCAGAGAAAATAAAAAGAGGACAAATGATTATAATATACTATATTGTTCAGCTACAAATGCAGTTACATAATCATATCAATGTAAACAGGCACCATAGACTATTGGGGCTTATATAACCCTGGGAGGATGAGAAGATAGAAATCACTCTGGAAAGGAGGTAGAATTGTGAAAGGGGTATGTTTGTGTAAGGAGGAGAAAACAGAAACCCTAATTTTCATAGTAGGAAGTCAACAGATAGCTCTAAAACAAACAAACAAAAATTCACACGCAGCAATATAAGCTACTTTACTTAGAAATATAAAAGCAATGATTGAAGATATGTTTAAAAGAATTTAAAGTGATTTCTTTTAGAAAGCAGGAATGGGATGGGTAGGCTGTGGGTTCACTTTTTTTCTTTGCAGCAACTCTCATACAGATTTTTTTCCTTCTTTAAACTAGTTCAGTGTATAACTTTGACTTCACAAGACAAAGGTATGATAAACATTTAAGGTGATGGATATGCTGATTACACTGATTTGAACATTATACACTCTACACACTTATTGAAATACCACTCTGTATCCCATAAATATGTACAATTATTATGTGTCAACTAAAAATAAAAGAAAAAGAAGAAACTTGTCTCTACACAAAAAAGCTAATGTTTTAAAAACCTGATTACTACAAAGACCAACATCTGAACCTTCAACAGTCCTAAAAACTTCTAAATAATTCCTATCTTTCTACTCCTAATTTCAACTTGAATTTTCTTAACCAAGATCATGTGAGAGTACTCTCCACCCCATTATGATATAGCTCTGTTTATGTGATAGATCTACTTCTATTTGTTTGTTAAATGGCAAAGTTAACATTATTAATGACACAAAAGATTAACAGCACTGAACATTAAGAGCTCTTGAAACCTGAGCATATGTCTCTCTAAACCACCAGAGGTCTTAGGACAATAAGTACACAGTGTCTCTTTTCATTAATTGTTGAAAGTTTGATGAAAAACTAACACATATACCCATAAGCTCCCAATCAGGTAATCATGTGAACACTATTACAAATAGGCACTAAAATCCACAAACCACTTAAGAGATTTGCTAAAGTTCAATATTTTGCACCAACAGCTTTTCACTGGATTTCTGCCTCAATAACAAACAATGCTTATAACCAATCAGACACAAAAATGACTTGGTATTACCATTAAACTAACATTTCCAACAGAAGTCTCCTGTACAATTTCCAGGTCTCCGAATTTTGACACACATTATAAAGGCAGTCCTCTATTAAAAACTGATCAAATTAGAAAGGAAAACATACGCAATCATTCATTCTGTCTTCTGCCTTCATTCAGAAGGCATTCATTCTGTCCAAAAATCTTCAGAAAAGCTTTGTCACAATCATTTAAAAGAAGCCTGTCAGAGAATCCAAAATTTTCAAGAGTGAGACACTATATGTCCCAAGTCTAAAATGTTTTCTTTCTTTTAGAAGACACCATATGGCAAATTATGTTCTCAGGAAAAAAACAAACAAACTTACCTTTCACAAGCTCGGACAGTCCATGCGGCAATTATCCATAATGAGATACTAAAAACCAAGAGTACAGTTCCTGGGCATATAGTCATTAAAGTCTTCATAACAAAACGTGTATTGAAGTTTATCTTATTAAGTGCTCCAATGCTTCTAGAGGAGGCATCAGTGAAAAGTTTGCTATGTAAAAGCATGACTCTGGCAATCAGATAGAGTCTTAAGAACATTGGTATAGATAAAATTATATCCACATCAGCGGTGGTTGTGGATGGGGCATAGGAGAAGGCAAGCCGGGCTGTCCATGTGAACGTATAATTCCCGGGTATGGGATGAATAGCACACACCAGTATTTCCAAGCAGATGAAGAAAATACGCTCATAAGTCATGGCTATTCTCCAGTCATCTGCTCCATTGTCCACCATGAACAACTGAAAAAATAAAGTAGAAAATCAGCTTCAGTATGGCATGAATGGTCCACAAGTGTTAATGCAGATTTTAAAAAATACATAACAGATGACTTTTAGCAATCAAGGCAAGCTAAAGGTTATAACTTTTAAGTGCTAGCCAGGTACACTATTTTTGGAAAAGGGTATTTGTACAAAATGAGAACACTTCACCTTGTAGAAATGAGAATTAAAAACTTGCTACTCAGGAGCTAAAATTATTTTGGAGTCCATGTTCCTGGACAATCATGTAAGCAACATCATTTTTAAATAGGGGCTTGGACCTATAAGTAACGAAACCCCCCTCAGATGAAGTCAAATGGACTTGCTCGACAAAAATTTGTTCTCCTCTTTGAGTCTGGATTTAAATCCTTACACAATTCTAACTATATTCTCAGTGAAATCTATTTAGGGTGCCTCTGCAATCAGTTATACCCTATAATGCTACAACACATGAGCGTTCTTACAGGAAATCTTATTCTTGGTTTCAAAGAAAATCACAAGAAACCACAGACAAATGTAGCAGAAACATTTCTTCCAGCTTCCCTGTGACTACTCTATTTTCTGTCTCTTTTTTCCTCTTCTCCCATAGCCTATCCTTGTATTATTAATTTGTTTTCAACCTTTCTTTCTTTAGCAAAGATTTCTTTTTTCCTATTTCTGTCATTCCTCATGCCACAATAAATTTTTTTTTTTAAAAGGAAATAAATAAATAAATAAATATAGAGTAAAAGGGACAGAAAAGAATGTCTTCCTCTCTCTTCCCTGGCTTTTTGTAAACAGGTCCACCAGGCTCTGGCGGTCCACAGACAATCAGAGGTATTTGGAAAAGTGTGGTGACTTTTCTGTCGGCCACAAGGATTTGTGGGGACTCCTGGCATTGAGGGGCAGGAAGCTAGGGGTGCAAACCATGATGCAATGCTGAGAGTCCCACACACTAGAAAGACCTTTGTTTTGAGAAGCTCAATAAATTCTAAAGATGCTGTCATTGCTGTCTTTGGAAATTACTATCAGGGCCTATTACAAGTAACATAAAAAAAAAAAAAAAAAGTACTGTTCTTTAAATCCACATTTCCATTCTTACCAAAAATGGTATTATCCAGCTTGATTGTCTATTTTCTTCACCAAACTTGGCTCTGAATGACTTAGCAGTTTTCAAAAATCAAATCCACCTCCAAAAGGACTAAGAATCACCAAGCTTCTGAATAGTCAAAAGCTGTGTGGCAGATTCTAAGCACAATTCCAAGACAGGCATTCCCCATGCCATGCTGGGCAACAGCAGTAAAAACGCAGGGTCAGTACCTTCCCAGGTAACTGGTAAAGCAGTGTCAATTTGCATGTATCGGTTCTGATACATAGCTTATGACAGCCACCTGCCTCCCAGGACTGACACCTCCTTCCACCCCTCCCAATGCACTTGCTCCTCTAACCTCACTCTACTCTCTCTGTCCAGGCCCCTTTTCATTGCCCTCTGCTCGCTTCCCTAACTAGGCTGGTTGTATTGCCTCACGTCGCTTCAACCATAATCTCACTGCCATTCTCAGCAGCCTCACCCTTTGTCTTCTGGTGGGCCTGCACAGGTAACTCCCAATCTGGAACCTGATGTCCAGGTGACTGGGTCACCCTTTCCCATCCCCATGCCTTCCAGCTTAGGTGGACCTTCAGTGTCACCCTGTGACTGCTTCCTCATCCTCCATAACATCTTTCTCCTCAAGGGTCACACCTCTGTTGCCCTCTCTCTTAGCACACACTTTCCCCCCAGTATCAGACAAAATAGCCTCTATTTTAAACTGCAGCCACAAACTTACCTACATCTGTACCCTTTCTTCCTATTTCCCTTCTCTTTTGTTTCATGAGTCTAAAGCAATGTTACACCAGCAGCCAGTTCTCTTGCACTGACAGCCTAGTTCCTGTGCCTCTTCCCTCTCAGTGGAGTACACAAAGTCAAATCTCTACCACTTACTAAAAACAAAACAACAAAAACAAAGAGAACCAAGGCTGGCTCTGTCTGCCCTAGGCTGTGTTTGTTTTATCGCTTCTTCTTCAGCCCCAAATATCCCCCGGGTGGATCTTGTCCCTATCAGCCAACCAGCACTACTCTTGTTAAGGTCACTGAAAACACCTTAATTATGAAACCAAATCCTCTTAATTTTTATCTTATGTGACCTGTCATTCCTTCCTTCTTAAATAAGATCTCTTTCCTTGGCTTCTGTGACATGTTGTTTTTTTCATCTGTTGGCACTCTGAAGGATCTCAGTCTCTCTCTCCTCATTCAAAGTGTCCCTGCTCTGCTAGGGTCCATCTCTGACTCTTCTCCTACTCTATACCTTTCCTGGGTGATCTCATTCTTCCTACTGGAGACCATCTTTCATTCTCTAATGAGCTTTTAAAAATGCAAATGATATAATCCATCACTGTCAAGATTAAAATTATTCAAAGGACCCTCACTGCCTGATGGGTAAAGTCTCATCTACATTTGTAGCATACAAGGCATTCTGCAATCTGGTTTTGCCCATCTTTCCAACCTCAATGCCTAATTAGTCTCTTTACATTTCTCTATGGTTGCAACTCCCAGAACACAAGATGACCCCAATCATGCTTCTGAGTCTTTGTACATTCTGACCCATGGCCTGGGAAGTCTCCATCTAGCAAATTTGTATTCCTTCAAGACCAAATTCCACATCACCTCCTTTAGGATATAGTCCATGCCCCACCCAAATCTGAAAACTCCCTCCTTTTTTCCACCAAGATTCCTATATGTGCCTTTTATGAATCCTGCTACGAAGGACAAAAAGGATTTCTTTATGAGACTGTCACCCCTACTTATTGTTAGGCTCCTTAAGGATAGGAACCACATATACCAGCAGAGGATAATAAATACTACATAAATGAACTGCCTTGATACTTCTCGTCTAATGATGACTGACCCTAATTCCTGGATAGGTCCTAATGTCAATTAAATGTGCTCACAGAAGGTGAGAACACTAAAGCAAATGTAAGTGAAATCTATGACATTTTTCAAATGTATAGAGAACATATCCTACTAAATAATAAGTCATTACAGCAGCATAATTTTGTAATTCCATAGGAAGTCCAGATAACTGTCTTCTTTGGTAACTTCCCAAGAAAAAATTTCCTATTACATAGTTGCTTTTTACTATGAGGGAGTCTTAATATCTGAAATGGTTTTATTTGGGGTCTTATTTTATTATAGCATATATTTCAATGCTCAAGTTGAGGAAGAAGTATTTCCTCCTATTCTCTACATAATTCCCACCCACAATGTTGCTTATTTGTTTACTCATTTATTTAATAAATATCCAGTGCACTGAATTCTCATCATGTGTCAGGCATTGTGCTACATACTAGCCATACAACAGCATTTACAGCAGACAGAGAGTCTGCCTGTTGCAGCAATCTTTCACTAGGAAAAAAAGACGAAGTCAAGAAAGCAAACTTAAAGCAATTTGATAAAAGAAAGTAGTTATGTTCTTGGACATTGCAATGAAGGGAACAAACAAGAGATAAAAGAGATAAAAATAAATTAGAGATGACAGATGTGGTCATCAGAGAAGACCTCTGGAGAAGTACCATTTAATGCAAGGCCTGCAGTAAGAGAAAAGCCAGTCATGCCGACCACCAGGGAAGAACATTCCAGGCAGATGAAATAGCATGTGCACAGGACATGGGCTTTATAATATGGCAGCATGCTTAGGAAATAAAGGAACACCAGAGTGGCTAAAACACAATAATCAAGGGGCAGAGTGAAAGGAGATGAGTTTGAAGAGACAAACTGGCACCAGATGTGGAGGCTCTTGTTGGCCACAGTATCAAGATGGAGTTTCATTCCAAGTGCAGTGGGAACCCAATGAAGGAGATTAGGCAAAGGAATGACGTGGTCCGATTTACAGCCTCAAGGGCTCATCTGGACTGCTCTAGGGAAACTAGAGTCAACAGAGGCAAGTGTGGAAGGAAGGAACAAGTTAGGAAGCTCTACTGCGTTTGATTGGTTGTAGTTTTTCCATGACCTGGACTGGGGGGTTGTCATGGAAATGGAGGCAGTGGGTACACTGGACATACAGTTTGAAGATTTTGCTAGAACTTACTGACAGGCTGAAAGTGAGAGCAATAAAAAGAAAAAGTTGGCTGAATTTATATGCTGAGAAACACAGTGGATGGTGATGATGTTTCTTGAGTGTTCCCTGAGTGGGGGAGGCGGAAGTGAGAAAGAAAAGGTTCCCTTTTGGTCACTGACATCTGAGAGTAGAGATGCCAAGTAGGCAGAAAGATGTACAAGTCACTCAGAGGAGAAGTCAGGACTACTGAAACAAATTTGAGAGCCATCACAAATTTGAGTTGGTTATATGAGATCAAAGGAAAAATTAGAGAAAGTGAAGAGAACAAGACAGTCCTCAAGGCCAACAGGAACCCCAAATGTGGAGGGTGGTTCGAAGGTCAAGCTGTAAGATCTAAAAAGCAGCAGCCTATGAAGCAGGAGGAAAGAAAGTGTTGTCCTAGCAGTCAAGAGTGAGGGCTGTCAACTATAAAATGTAAAATAGTATTTACCAGGTTTAGAGCCATGCTAATGAGCTCAATAGTCTATAGAAAATGCAAACATTCTAAACATCACCTAGTGTCAAGTATTAAAATTCAACTGCAGAAATATTTCCACTACATTCCATATAATTACTATAATATACATGATTTGTTTTAAGCTCACTTGTAAGGGAGTTAAAGTAACCTGGAGGAATAATGTCAAAACATCTCTAACTTCATTTTTTATTCTGATGTTTTTTATTTATTTATTTATTTTTTATTTCATCATATTATGGAGGTACGAATATTGTTAGGGTTACAAATATTGCTCCTGCCCCCTCCCTCCCCCCGAAATGTCCAATCCCCTGGTGTATTCTGATGTTTTTAAGGGAAGATAGATTTTAGGGCAAAGATACAACAGTTTAATCTACTTTATTTCCATAGCTGTG